ACTATGTGATTTGTACGCAAAATATACGCTTTTAATAAATTTGTAATAAATGAGCTTAAAAAAGTTTAACTTCAATAACACAAAGCTTGTTGGGTACCGTTTAAAAGATCTCGACGAGTGGAATACGATTTTCATATAAAAATTATTATATTTTTATAAAAACGTTATATACTTAACCATATTTCATTTGAGGCATTTGAAGAAGTTTTACTTCAAAAATATTACATTTTGTGTTCGTCTAAAGAAGTTTTACTTCAAAAAATTTTAAATTGTGTTTTTTGGCATGTTGCGGAAGTTTTTTTGAATAGAATCCAAATACTGGCATTATCTATGTGGTTTGTCCACAAAATATACGCTTTTAATGAATTTGTCATAAATGAGCTTAAAAAAGTTTTACTTCAATAACACAAAGATTATATTTTTACAGCTTGTTGGGTATCGTTTAAAAGGTCTCGACGAGTGGAATACGATTTTTATATAAAAATTATTATATTTTTATAAAAACGTTATATACCTAACCATATTTCATTTGAGGCATTTGAAGAAGTTTTACTTCAAAAATATTACATTTTGTGCTTGTCTAAAGAAATTTTACTTCAAAAAATTTAAATAGTGTTTTTTGGCATGTTGCGGAAGTTTTTTTGAATAGAATCCAAATACTGAAATTAACTATGTGGTTTGTCCACAAAATGCTTTTAATGAATTTGTAATAAATGAGCTTAAAAAAGTTTTGCTTCAATAACACAAAGATTATATTTTTATAGTTTGTTGGGTGTCGTTTAAAAGGTTTCGACGAGTGGAATACGATTTTCGTATAAAAATTATTATATTGTTATAAAAACGTTTAACTTCTGAAATATTACATTTTCTGTGCTTGTATGTATATGTACATATTACATAACCGTTTTGATATAAACAGATTTCAAATTTATCGTGTCTCTTGAATTCATGCTCGAGTTACTTGACAAACATACTACTTAACACACACACACCCATAAATATATAAATTTATCATCGCACACGTGTTTGTATGTATGTGCGTATTCCATTTTGATGTTGAATTCAGGCGCGAAATTCAAACACTTTATATCTCGTCTAAAGTTTCCTACAAATCAAAAGAGCTTTTGATCTATATAAATTGGCACATCGCTCTTTCTCTATAACGTCGTCTCTGTACCATTTACCACCTACATCCCCTACCTTTCCTTTATAATACTACCCTATCAATGGGTAGTGTTCTAAAGGGATACACGTAGAGCAAAAGACGACACGAGACGGTGGATGGATCTCCACCGTGTAATTGTTATATAGGTTGTAACTTTTGAAGTGTTCGCTGAATTTTTAGAAATTTGGATTTATTATTTATGTATTCGGATTCCATTAAAAAGGACCTTTCAAACGATACCCCACATGTCACAAAAGATACAATCTAAATGCTTTGAAGTAAAACTTCTTTAGACATCAGCTACAATTCCGTGAAAAGCTAATATTTTGTTGACAAACTACATTTCAAGCCATATCAAATAATATTCCTATATTTTTCTATATATTCCTAGTTTTTACTATATTTCATAAGCGTAGTTTTAAATTGTCTGGGATTTTTTTAAAAAAAAGTCTAATTGTGTTTTAAAGTACTAATGTGATCAGCAAGCATAGTTTTAAATTGTCTGGGATTTTTTTCAAAAAAAGTCTATATTGTGTTTTAAAGTATAAATATGCTCCGCAATCATAGTTTTGAATTGCCTCGGTTTTTTTGAATTGTTCTTATGTTGTTGTAAACGTTTTTTTAATTGTTTTTATTAAGTTCTGGTTTGTTTCTCCTATGTAAATTAAATTACATTCTAGACAATTTATTTGACAGACAAGATTTCTAAGTCGTCGATAATAAAAGGGATTTTGGTTTTGGTAAAATTAGTACTAGTATATATATATATATATATATATACATATATATATATATATATATATATATATATTACGCATATAAAATTGCTATCTAGATGGGAAATAATCTGAAATTCTATATATCACTTCAGGACATAATATTTTTATTCTGCTTTTAGCTTTTCATGACGTATCAAATGGCAAATTGATTCATTGCCAATAAAATACAATGCGAATAAATCTGCACACTGAAATTTATACATCGATACCGTAGAAATATTATGTAATATTATGTAATAAATATATACATGCACTTGTCTATGTATGTATGTCACTCAACTGTTTCTAAACGACTGTACAGATTTTGATTAGTCATTTCGAAGTTTGTCAAGGAAGATATAGGAATGGTAATGAATAAAAAAAAATGTGATAATATAGGGATAAGGTAAGAATTATAGCTGCGTTTTGCTAATTGAATAAAAAAATTATATAAAAAATATTTATATTCGAAGAGCTCGACAGGACGCCCTATTTGCACAATGACTTTGAAATTTTAACACATCATACCTAAATATGTCTACTATGAAACTATATACTAAGACTTAAATGTTTTGGAACAAAAATTTGAGTTATAGAGGATTTTATAAAAACTTGTTCAGGGTACATAGAGTTATAAAATAAGATTTTATAAAAACTTGCACTGAGTCATACTTTCTAGTACTTAGTCACTAAATCAATGGGCTCTGCAGAACGCACCGTTTGTATAACGACATTGAGATTTTAACAGGATATACCTAAATATGTGTCTTATGAAACCATATACTAAAATCGACATCTGTTGGAACAAAAATTGAAGTTATATAATATTTTATATAAACGTGTCTGACAATGAGCCATGCATTTTAGTACACAATCAATAAATCAAGGAGCTCTCCAGGACGCACCGTTTGTATAATGACATTGAAATTTCAACATATCATACCTGAATATGTCTATTATAAATGCATATACAAAAATGCAAATATGTTGGAACAAAAATTTTGGTTATAAAAGATTTTACAAAAACTTGCATTTTCTAGTACATAACCACTTAATTAGTAATATAATTGTTTATTACTCTCATATGAAAAAGTATATATTTAAGAAGCTCTGCAGGACGCACCGTTCGTGCAAAGGCTTTGAAATTTTTACACATCACACTTAAATATGTGTTCTATAAAACCACTTTCTGAATTTGATATATTTTGGAACAAAAATTTTAGTTATGGATGAATTTAAAAAAACTTGCCCTGATAATAAGTCATCTATACTAATATATAGTCACGGTCGGTCAAATAAATTGTCTAGATTGTAATTTAATTTACTTAGGAGAAACAAACCTTGACTTGATTAAACGTTTACAACAGCATAAAAACAATTCAAAAAATCCAAGACAATTTAAAACTATGCTGGCTGACCACATTAATACTTAAAACACAATATAAACTTTTTTTTTAAAATCCCAGACAATTTAAAGCTATGCTTGCTGACCACATTAATACTTTAAAACACAATATAGACTTTTTTTAAAAAAAAAATCCCTGACAATTCAAAACTATGCTTATTTAGGTATGACCACCTTGAAATTTTAACACAATATATAGGTATGGTTATTGATAAAAAAAAATTAGTAATGGTGTTGAAATTAGGGAAAAAATTGCAAATAACAACATGTATGACCTAGTAAATCAAGTAATAATGATTTAATTTGCAATTATATGATGCAATCCTATTAGTCTTTAATTATCTCGAAGTTTCGATTATTATCTTCCAAATAAAACTTTGCAAAACTATTTAATCCATTTCTAATTCATTTTCATATCTTTAAAACGTTTTAAAATAATCTCTTAACCACTTCGCTCCATTTGGCTGGCGTCCAAAGAAAATTGTGTCATATATAGAAATGTTCTCAAAAATATATTGAAGAAAAACTTCTTATCGTATTTGTATGTGGGTGAAAGTTTGTCATTGAATTTTATTGAAATCTCCACCGTAGTAATTTGTAGAATTCTGCAAATGTTTGTAACAGAACATATCGATGTTAGTATACGGTTGGATAGTAGACATGTTTAGGGATGATTATTTGAAATTTCAAGGTCGTCGTGCGAACGGTACGTCCTGGAGAGCTCCTTGATTTCGTCTTGCACCAACCATATTTGACTTATGGTTTATGCAAGTTTTCATAAAATATTCTACAACATAAATTTTTGTTCTAAAACATGTTGTTTCTGGTATATCATTTTATACTAGACATATTTAGGTATGTTGTGATAAAATTTCAAGGTCGTTATACAAACGGTGCGTCCTGGAGAGCTCTTTGATTTAGTGATTGTGTAATAGAATGCATGGCTCATTGTCAGAAACGTTTGTATAAAATGCTAAATAACTTCAATTTTTGTTCCAAAACATTTGAGTGTAAGTATATGGTTTCATAGTAGACATATATAGGTATGATGTGTTAAAATTTCAATGTCGTTATACAAACGGTGCGTCCTGGAGAGCTCCTTGATTTAGTGATTGTGTACTAGAATGCATGGCTCATTTTCAGATACGTTTATATAAAATATTATATAACTTAAATTTTTGTTCCAAGACATGTCGATTTTAGTATATGGTTTCATTAGAGACATATTTAGGTATATCATGTTAGAATCTCAATATCGTTATACAAACGGTGCGTTCTGCAGAGCCCTTTGATTTAGCGACTAAGCACTAGATTGTATGTCTTCTTATAAAAACTTTATTTATAACTCTATTAACCCTGAGCAAGTGTTTGTAAAAACCTCTATAACTCAAATTTTTGTTCCAAAACATTTAAGTGTAAGTATATGGTTTCATAGTAGACATATTTAGGTATGATGTGTCGAAATTTTAAAGTCGTTGTGCAAATTGGGTGTCCTGTCGAGCTCCTCGAATATAAATATTTTATATATAAATTTTTTCTTCAATTAGCAAAACGCAGCTATGAATCTTACCTTATCTCTCAAATGATTTATCAAAATCTGTACAGCCGTTTAGGGGTAGTTGAGTGACATACATATCTATAGTCTATAATGTTTTTTTTTTCTATTTTCCAGGTGAGGTGGAGCGATTGCTTCGGGAATATAGACAGAACCAAGAACTGGTGCGAAATATTGGAGCCCACTATTACCAGATAATTTATCCTGTTCAATTGAGACATCACGAAAAAATGGGAATATCTACGAGGGAAATTGGATCTACAAAGGTTAGAAATATAATATTTTATATATATATATATATATATATATATACAAGAAAGAATTTTAATGTGCATTCTATTGCATATTCTGTAAAAAGAACTGACGTTGAATTTCTTAACGTTGACTGCGTTTAAAATGCAAAATATGAAATTTAAAACTGACATTATGCAGAAATATAAATATATATATATATATATATATATATATATATATATATATATATAATAAAGTTAAAATATATTTCCATATAACTTCATCAGCATTTCATTTCTGCGTCAGCGCCTGCAATTTTAACAGACATTTTATTCAACTGCATTTTTATAAAAGTGAATTGTTTTATACAAAATTGAATTATGTACAATATTGTCTAATACTATATAGTACAGCAATTTTATATACGACATTTAATAAAAGTTATATGTTGTATGCTTTCAAGCAAGTTGTATGTTTTCAAGAGCGTTTTAAAGTATACCGAGTTGCTATAGGCATTTTTCATATTAGACAGCATTCTTTATCGTTCAATTTTGTATAAATTTGCCGAATACATGATTTATATTAGACAAATAGTTTAGAAGTTACAACCGGTGAAGTAAAAATACGTACTAGGTATACTGTATTCCAAAGCAAGAGGTCAATGCAAACTCTATGCAGAAAGTCATTGAAATCGTCGAGTTTGTATGGAAACTAGTATAAGATTATTTGTATCGTTTCAATTGCGATTTTAAAGTATACTGAGTTGCTGTAGAGTTTTGCACCATTAGAAACGTTTATAGATTGATTAATTCTGAACAAATTTGTCGAACACATCATTCATATTAAGCAAATGGTTTTAAAGTTATGACTTATAATACATAAATACATAAATATATCTTCACTATTGATTTTCCAAGTCCGTCACTATAAAATTTGGATCGGGTTTGACGAGACCTTTCAAATGATACCCCACACGATAAATTTTACAAAAAACGTTTCGACTTTTTATTTGATCCATCGTACTGTACTGGTGCATTTATTTATTAAAAATATTGTAAACGGCTCGTCTGATTTGAATGCTATATTCTACAACTTTATACAAAATTAAGTAGTCTATAATATTGCCTATTATTATATATCCCTACAGCAACTCGATATACTCTCAAAATAGAAATTTTTCTTCTAAAATTGTTCTCGGTACTATATTCATAAAGAGGTCGTCAAAACCTTTTGAATGATACCCCACACGACGTATTTGACGCAAAACGTTTTGGCACCTTATTACACCCATCAAACTGCGAATTTATTTATACAATGTCTTGTAACTTTCAAATGATAAGTCTGATTTTAATCAAACATTCGGCAAATTTGTACATAATTCAATAGTCTATAATATTGTTTAACATTATAATACTTTACGGCAACTCTATATACTTTAAATTAGCAATTAAAATTTAGATTAAGTTATTGTTTGGAACACAAGTGGTTTCCTCAAAATATCAATGTCATATTTGAATTGGGGTTGTCGAGACCTTTTAAATGATACCCCATACGACATATGTGACGACTTAACGTTTCGACTCTTTATTCGACCCATCGCACTGAATATAGTTCAGTGCATTTATTTATTAAATCTTCTATAACTTCTAAGCGACTTGTCTGATTTAAATGAAATATTCGACAAATTTGTACAAAATTAATTATTCTACGCGATATATATATATATTTTTACCAATCTGAATAAATTGTTAAATATTATATTATCCAATATTATATTATCCAAGCTTGGTGCTGGCTGTTTCTTTGCAAAAAAGCTAAAAAGGCACAAAAATTAACATACACACACATTTAATACACATCGAAAGAACATATTACTATTGCCATTACCATGTAGATTATGTATATACAGTACTGGAAAGGAATACACACAGATTTATATACAACTAGCGTGAATTTTGCTGTGAAATCGTTTGCTGAAAATTTATAGAATTTTTTTGTTCGGGTTAATTTGGATGTTAGTTTTGTACCTGTAGCACACCGCATCAGAGGAAACGATTTAAAACTTGTCTGATTTAAATGTAGTATTCGACAAATTTGTATAAAATTAAATAATCTACAACTATTTTCACCAGCTGAAGTCGTTCGAGCAGCTCTGTTTGATACAAAGTATACCAATAATTTTTTTTTACAACAGATAAATAAATCCGCACTTAGACGTCTTATTAATATTAATACATCTCTACGTACATGTTATATTTCTCAAAAAACACAAAAATCCGTCTAGACATCTCAGTATTTTCTCAAGAGCCATCGTCTCTCCATCACGTACGAATCACTCCACCGTCGCCTCTACGTAATAATAGACTATTTAATTATTGATTTAGTTGTCGATAATGATATTATCATCATCATTATTATTATTATTATTATTACTAGCATTGCTATTAGGTTTATGATTGCGTAATGGTCCTCATTTGGATTATCCGTATCAAATATTCCGTCATTAGCTACGATTTAATTACCGAGACCTAATGTCGAATTAGTGCACGAGACGGTGGAGGAATAGAACACTGATGTATATATATATATATATATATATATATATATATATATATGTGTGTTGGTGGATGTGCAATAGTTATTTTGATGTTCTGTGAACGTTAATAGGATCAGACGGGACTTATAATGTTCCAGTATTAGGTAGCACAATATATACGTGTATATATATAATATATATATATATATATATATATATATATATTTTTTTAATTTTATTTCAGTTGTCACAAAGGACACATCAGGATGGAGGAAATTATCAAGGTGGAACACGTGGCAGGTCGAGGGTAAGTCATAATTTTTATAATTATATATATATATATATATATATATATATATATATATATATATATATATAAATGGAGCTCTCGATAAAATGATCCGCTAAACCGATTTGGCCAGTCTTAGTCATGAAAAATTTGTGCTAATCAGTAGGTCGTCGGAAAGGAGAGATATTATTTCAAAATCGCGTAGAAACTTTACATTTTTAATTTGAATATTTTTGTAGAAGCGTAATTTGAATAAAACAATAGACAATGGCAAATACGTCAAATGTCAAACGTTTTTCACAGATGATGTTCAATTACGTTTAATAAGATGTTTTACGTGAATATTATTTAATTTTGATTAAATTGTAGTAAGTAGTTTTGTTTGTAGTTTTATTTATATACAAAAACGGTTTTGAAGTAAATAAATTGACGGCTTAAAATATATTTTAAAAATATAAAGCGTTGTAATACAGTTATGAAATTATAGAATGTTATTTCTTAATATGTGTACTGAATTATAAAAATATAAAATCACATATGTTTCTAACAGAAGAAACTAAAAAATTGCAATGCACACGTGCATACTCTATTTTTATTAGTTGCGAATCGACGGTTGGATATGATATGAGAAGTACTTTTGAAAAATGTTTTAAAAATATACAATATTATAATAGAGCTATCAAATTTTAGTATGTTATTACTTAATATATGTACTAAATTATAAAAATATAAAATTACATATGTTTCTAACAAAAAAAGCTATAAATGTGCAATTTTGTGCAAATAAATGCACTCTTGCATATCTAGTTTCCAATAGTTGCAAGTCCACGGTTTGATGAGTATTTTGAAAAATATTTAAAAATATAAAACGTTATACTGGAGTTACAAAATTTTAGTATGTTATATTTTAATATATGTACTAAATTATAAAAATATAAAATCACACATGTTTCTAACAAAAAAAGCTCTAAATTTGCAATTTTGTAAACAAATGCACTCTTGCATATCTAGTTTCCAATAGTGCAAGAGTATTTTGAAAAATATTTAAAAATATAGAACGTTATACTGGAGTTACAAAATTTTAGTATGTTATTTCTTAATATGTGTACTAAATTATAAAAATATGAAATGACATATGTTTCTTACAAAAACAGCTATAAATTAGCAATTCAGTAAGATCATGTAATAGGGCTGCAAGTGTTGACACAAACTCAACAATATCAACTTTTTTGAAATGTTAATATGAAAATGCACTTTTTGGCATATTTTTCTCAAACACGGTGCACTGAAATATCTCATTTGTATAATTATATACTCATTGGTATTTATAAAACATTTTCTAGGTTATATTATTTTTTATTTATGTTATTTAAATTCAGAACCTAAATTTGGTATCGATCAAAGGGACATTTTGTCGAATAACATTTCCTCAGTTATAATTTAACAGAATTTATCGAAGAATAGATAGTAATATATGAAGGTCTGGGGTTCAAAAGATCCAACACCGATGTATCAAAAACCAGTAAAGTTAAGTATTGTTTAACAACAATATTTGAAAGTAGAGGGCAAAAGATGTATAACCAGCTATAACCTTGATTCTCATGACTTTTCTATCGGGAGATAAACGGTAATCTTTGAAAATCCATAATAAAAGTATTGTCTTCCGTTGGTAGTTTTTTGGCATTAGTTAAAAATGTAATTATTTTGTAAAATACCTTTAAAATCAAAATAATTAATTAATTTAATAATCTGGCCGTTCCAAGTTAACCCGTCTATAGGGTAAAAAAGTCTAGATAACAAAGTTTTGAAAGACATCAAAAAAGCACATTTCTACAATAATGAAGTAGCTTGCAGTTTTACTGAACGCAGCCAGATAATTGCTCGTTCGAAATATGTTATTTCTTGTCCCTTACTAATTTTATTAACCCCTGTTCCGGCCCTGTAACCCTTGATCATCTTACCCACACACACACAACATCCACATTTATTATCCGGCCAACAATGTATAAGTATATTTTAATAATCCATCACGCGGCATGACTTGATAAATTTCATTCTTCAATAGCTTTTAGTGAAAATGATATTTGAGAGGAGCCCCCATACTTCTCCAAGGGGTTTTATACACATCCCCTTAGTCCCTCCCATTGGAAAAAGTATAGAAAGTTAGTACAAGAGGCCCCTTATTGTAGGCGAGATCAATATGTACATATGGAAAAGATTAGGCGGTGGAGATACATATAAGAGAGAGAGGGCTCTCGAAAAATCTCTGAAAATTGGCTTCGGATATAATATTAGAGGGAGGATTAATATTATCTAATTGTGGCGGTTGCTGGAGGGATGGTGGTGGAAATATTTTGGTGGTAATTATAATGTGATGTGTTTTCTTGGCACGTGTAGAAAATTTGTTTATGTGTGTGTGGGTGTACAAATTATAAGTTCTCTCGAAGGTATCGTTAATGTGGAGATTTCTCCATAATTCATATACAACTACACATACGTAATTGATTAAATTTAATAAAAAATATTGTTTTTCTTCTTTATATGAATTTATTGATTTTCCTAAATAGGCGTGCGTGATAGAAGGGTGACAATTTAGGGGTACATGCGTTTCTGGGATACAAATTAAAACTAGTGGTGTGTATGGCATCGTGCCTTAGGGCAAATTTCTGGAACTTCCCGTACCGTAATGAAATATTCGAGAAATTTTAAACGTTAATAACAAATACTGTAACGTTAATCATTTTTGCTATCTTGTTATATCTGAGCAAATCAAATGTAAATTATAAAAAAATCAATTTATCTCCCAAACATTAGCAATCGTCATTTCATTTCGAATTCAATTTCAAAAAAAAAATAGTTGCCTAATTTGCACAAAATTGAAAAATCGCTCCCGTATAGTCACAGTCTAAACGCATTTGCAAATAATTCTGTGCGACATTTTCACTTACACTGTGCTTAGCTTGGCGGCATTTTCACATTTTTCAATAGTTTTCAAAAAATTTGAAAAGTGCTCCAGTGCATAAACAGTCTAAACGCACTTGGGTGAACATTTGTACTAGAGTGGCGCTTAGACTGTGCTTAGCCTGGGTGATTTTTTGAATTTTTAATCCAAAATTACAAAAATATTTTATGGAAAATAAAAAAGTTGTTATAATTTTTTATCCTCAAAATGAATTGTTTTGTCAATACAAGCAGAAAGTTTGTTAGATCATTCAAATCGGACGCTTAGTTCTCTCAAAAACTGCCATTTTTTGCACATTTAGCTCTGTATCTCCGAAATGACGGGACCTGTCTTTGCCAAAAACTAATCGCCTCTTCTCGCAATCATTACAAATTGAATGTTTTTTAGATCATTCATATCCGATACTCCGTTCTCTCAAAAACTCGATTTGTATTTTTTGCACACTTTGCTCCGTATTTCCGCAACGGCTGGACTTGCCTTTGCCAAAAACTAATCAACACATCTCCCTATCAATAGGAATCGAATGTTCAAAAATTCGAACCATTCAAATCGGTTGATCTGTGCGCCCAAAAACGTGAACGAATAAATGCGGACACATAAAACACACACACATCCATTTTTTATGAGGTATGCCTCTTGAAAATGTTCAGAAACCTTCAAAACGTCGAGAAATGAAAAAATTTTAATTTTTGATTTTCGGTCCATTACTATAACTATACTACGCGAAGTTAATAAGAATTCAATAGTTTAATATCTACATCTGTTTCAATTTTGCATATCTATTTTTACTCACAGGTTATAAATGTATATAAATTTAATAAATTATATATCTTATATATAAAAATGGAGCTCTCTTTCAAATGTCCGAATAAAACTCGAAAACGGCTGAATCGATTTGGCCAGTCTTAGTCTTGAAAAATTCGTGCCAATCCAGAGAATGTCCAAAAGGTGAGAAATTATTTCAAATCCGCGTAGAAACTTTACATTTATAATTTGAAAATTTTTGTAGAAGCGTAATTTAAATAGAACAATGGACGGTGGCAATTTCGTGAAATGTCAAACGATTTTGACAGATGATGTTCAATTACGTTTAATAGGATGTTTTACGCGAATATTATTTGTGATAAATTTGTAGTAAGTAGTTTTGTTTGTAGTTTTATTTATATACAAAAACGTTAGTAAACGGGCCCCAAGTGTTACTAGAGACTCAAAATATAAACTTTTTTGATATGTTAATATGAAAATGCATTTTTGGCATATTTTTCTCAATCTTATTTGTATAATTATATGCTCATTGGTATTTATAAAACAATTTCTAGGTTATATTATTTTTTATTTATGTTATTTAAATTCAGAACCTAAATTTGGTATCGATCAAATGGACCTTTTGTCGAATAACATTTTTCCAGTTATAATTTCCCAGAATTTATCGCAGAATAGATAGTAATATATGAAGGACCGGGATTAAAAAAGTCCACCACCGATGTGGCAAAAATCAGTAAAGTTAAGCATTGTTTAACAACAATATTTGAAAGTAGAGGAAAAAAGATGTATAGCCAGCTACAAACTTGATTTGAAAACGATAATCTTTGAGAATCCATAATAAAAGTATTTTCTTCCGTTGGTAGTTTTTAAGCATTAGTTAAAAATGTAATTATTTTGTAAAATACCTTTAAAACTATAATAAGGCTTTAAATCTTTTTGCCACCTGCCTGTTTCAAGTTACCCCGCCTACAGGGTAAAAAGGTCTAGATACCAAATTTTTGAAAGACATCAAAAAGGCACATTTCTACAATGATGAAGTAGAAGGCAGTTTACTGAACTCAGATAATTGTTCGTTTGATATGTGTTATTTGCTGTGATATAATTGTTATGGTTTTCACAATATAGTTTACATTTGCTCAAAGTCAAATTGGACCTTTGTGCCTCGCCCTGCTCTACATATATACTTTATAATAAATTTACTTTTTTTCACCGAATGTTACTTGAAACTTTTCAAAAAGCAGGTAAAAAAAGAAATACTTTTTTGATTTTTAAATATTTATTTTCTATCTCT